AAAAAAAAAAAAATGTTTAAACCCTTTTCAGGATCAGGCAAATAAAAAAAAAAAAAAAAATTTTTTTTTTTTTTTTTTTTTTTTTTTTAGAAAGTCTCAACAAGTTTCAAATCAAAATTGCTTTGACTAACACAGTTGTGCAGCTGTGACGCCACAGAATTATTGGGAAAATATAGAGCCACCTTTTTGATATCCATGCTCTAGAAAATATTACAGAAAAAAGTGTGTTAATATGAGGTGGTTTAAATAATACATAATGGTGTTTTATTTCTTGTATGCACACTATTATTTTTGTAGAAAAAGCTCTAGGGTCTCAAAGAATGGAAAATTATAGGATATAGAGAGACTTTTCAAGTGAAAAATGTTCTGTTTAAAGGTGTTGTGTACTTTTTTGTATTTCTATCCTTCAGTGTAAATTACAGAAGAATATTGCTGCTGATGCTGTTTTAATTGTAGTAACATTAGCCGTAAAAATGAGTTAAATATGTGTATTAATCTGCAGACATGTATGTTTTGCAGGTGTCAAAATAATCTTCTGTCAAAAATACAAAATGTTGCCACAATAATAGCTGAAGTATTTTTGTCAATTCTTTCTTCATTATTTTTGCATTTTATTGATACTTCATTATTTTTTAGAACTCTTTGAAAATGAACATGTACGTGTTGGGCAAACAGGTAAGGATTTGATTTCAGTTGCAATAAACAGTGAGGAATTAAGAATATCCTAAATAACCGTCTTCTTCAAATACTAATTCCTGAGAATTTTAGTATTTCACCCATGGTAACACAAAGCACAGTGAATAATGCCATGGATGTTCATATAAAGATAGAAAACTTGGCATTTTACATCTACCAATAGGTGCCAGATAAATAACTCTACAGCTGGTTCACTAAAAGCAAAATAGCAAGCGTAGACACACACCTTTATGGCAATAGCTTAACCCATGCGACTTCTGAATTTCATTTTAAAATCAGGAGAGCTTGTTCTTCCATCTGTGCACACACAATTCTCATTAGTGTTAATGGGATTTATGCTCATGCATCAGATGAGAATATAACCCTAATTCTTTTTGATGGTTATTCATAATTGCAGAACCTGATAAATACTGCAACTCTAAGCGGATGATTTTCACTTGTTTTTCCACACATGTACTCCTTTCTGAGTTAGTTATATCTTCTCCTTGTATCTGTAGGATGAGAAGTTATCTTTGATTTTAAAACAGAGTAAAAAGTCCTTCATTAGATCAAACCTTGCTAGAGAAGAAACACAATGTCTCTTACTATTGTCTTAGGGGTAGACGATAACTGCTCATTATTATTTCCTCCAGCCAGTCTCCCCACTTCAAGGGGCAGATAGCAGGTCTGGTGCACCCCTATAGCATTTTCAGGAAACATGTCCACTTCCCTCTTCTGCTGCTGGGGCTAAGGTGACAGCGGCATCTCTCCCTTCTCTCTTTTTCTGAGGTCCTTCATCTCTCTTTTCCTCACCCACTCATTCTGTCTTTGTGTAACCAGCTGAGGTACCATCCCTCTCATCCCCCCCTTTCCCTATACTTCCTCAATGAATTCCTGTCCCCTGCAAAACAGACTTTTAGTCAACCCCGTATCTTGCCTATGTATTCATAGCTTCCTATCTCTTAACCATTCAGAGCAGCCTCTACCTCCCAACCCTTCTACACCTTGTTTCTACAGGATGGCATAGAGCAGGGGTCGGCAACGTTTGGCACGCGGCTTGCCAGGGTAAGCACCCTGACAGGCCGGGCCAGTTTATTTACCTGCTGACGCGGCAGGTTCGGCCGATCGCGGCCCCCCACTGGCCACAGTTTGCCGTCCTGGGCCAATGGGGGCAGCGGGAAGCCGTGGCCAGCACATCCTTTGCCCGCGCCGCTTCTCGCCGCTCCCATTGGCCCGGGACGGCGAACCGCTGCGAGTGGGGGCTGCGATCGGCCGAACCTGCTGCATCAGCAGATAAATAAACTGGCCCGGCCTGTCAGGGTGCTTACCCTGGCGAGCCACGTGCCAAACGTTGTCAACCCCTGGCATAGAGTGACATGAAGCCGTGAGACAGAGTCTTAATCAGCTGTGAAGAAGAGTCTGGGCCACTGACCGGCTTGCTTTCTAGTAGCAACTGTGATGACTGCTACGTGGGAAGTGAAGCCTTCTTTATTATAAAAACAATAAAAAAAAAATACCCAGCAACATATGGTAGTTGGCCAGAAAAGCTTGGAGTATACAGCAGGACTGAAGAAGGCTTGTGCCTCTAGCTAAGAGATTAAATTAGGCAGATCTGCTTTATATGCAGCCTATACTTGTCAAGTTCTGTTTTTATATTTTTTCTCGCGTATTACAGTAGGCTTCTTGAAAAAAGGCTTGTTTGCCACCAATGCTGCACTATGTATTTGGGCACAGATTCAAATCTCATTGAATTCAATGGGAATCTTTTTATGTACTCCAGTGGATCAGGCTTTTGGTCGCCATCTATGACTTGGTTGCCATTGATGGATAGTCCTTACCTTCATGTCAGTTGTACTGATGTGCTGAGGATTTTTCTCTCCTACAGCCAGCATAACGCATCCCAATTTGTTAGCGAGGTTGTTTCTTGCCTCTGCGAGGAGCGGTAAGATGGAAACACCTCAGTCATGTATATTGTTCTGTTCTCTGCTGAGGCGGTCTTCTTTTCCTAAGTTTTTGCATGTAGTGTGGCAGTGTTTTATTTTCCCTTTTCTGTCTCAGCATTTAGGAAGCCAAAAAAGGTGGAAAATAAAAAAACCCTAAGCCATGAGTGCGCCATCTATTATAGAACTCTACAGGCCAAGAAAATATTTGGTAAAACAGAGACTTCCAGCAATTCTGGAACAGATGGCCCTTTGTTCACTTTGGATCAGCTGGCCACATGATGTGTCCTCTTCTTAAAATATCTTGTTCATCTAAGCATGAGTTTGAAGAAGATTGGGAAACAGGCCAGCCAGCGAATGTGAAAAAGTCTGGTAGGTCTGATTCTCTGACTCCTGAGGTGACTGCAGCTGAACCAGACTTATCCAGCTTCATTCAAGGATTTTGAATTGTATCCTTTTCTCTTCTCTCGTCTCATCACCTCACCTATTGATGTGACCAGGCAGAGTTCATGAAGCACAGTTGTTTTGCCTAGGTCTCCAGTGGGGACTTTCAGCATCTTGGGCTATTCCAGCATCCTGGGTCTCTTCACCGAGGAGAAAAGGAGGCATATCCTTTAGGTTTAGTATCCAAATCTTCTTCTGGATTTCTCCCACCATATCACACAGGATGTATGGGAATACTGACATACCTATCGTGAACTTAAGAGTCAGTAAAATTTAGTAAAGCAAGAAGATATTTTACTTTTCTAAGAAACTCCCCCCAGAATTGCTTCTTATTTATTCATCTGTACAAAGGATACAGTGTGAAACCCCTGTATTCCACTATGGTCACAATCTATTGGAGATATTTTAGCATTTATTATTAAGAAAGTTTCCCACATACACATTTTTCTAGCCACCAAGATGTTTCAGGTTTGTGTTGGTCTGGTCCACTTCAGTACCAGTCCCTACCCTTTGGCTTAGCTATGATTTTTGCATACTATTATCAAATTGCTCGTGATATTGGTGGCAGAACTCAGCAGTAGTATTTGTGTAATTCTATGCTCAATGGTCCGGACAAAGAAGTTAAAGAGGCAGTTGACTTGTCTTCTGTGATGAATCATAAAGCATATTCACTCTCTCATAGAAGCTTGCACACTTTGGCCTACTAATACAGTATATTACAATTTAGTCATCTAATCAGAGACCTAATAGTAAAGTTGAAAAGTCCTCGCAAAAGCAATGTAGCAACCAAGCCATTCATCAGCATAATTGCTAATTTGCTTCTTGAGGTTATTGATGTCTTTCCAGGATGTGTGATGCTTTCCAAAAGGCATTCAGCCTGATGATCTGACATAAATGCTCTTTAGTTCCCACTACTCCCATGAAAAACATTCCTAGACTGGAGGTCCAACTGTGCGCATAACTTCTATAGGGATTACCCTTATAAGATGCAGAATAGCTAACAACTGACTCCAGGCACAGTTAGGAAGCCTGAGTGGGGAAGTTGATAACCTGTTCAAAGTGTGCACGTTAATGTGTTGAAGCTGAAGGCTTTGAGATTCACAGCAAAGCCTGAAGTTTGTCTGCCAACAGCAATGCAACACATTCTGCTAAAAACTGACAACAATACAGTAATAGCTTCTGTCAAACTAAAGGAAAGCATGAAGAACAAAGAATTGACTCTACAGTAGAGGGTTGAGCAGAAAGACCCCTGTTTAGCTCTGCTTGCTAATATCAATTGTCCTCCCAATGAGACCCCTCCTCTTAGAGGTACCTTCCCATTGGCTGACTGTTGCATTAGGGCAAATCAGGGGAATTTACACTGCCCTTTAGGCCCCTACTTATGCTGGGTGGTAAAGCCATCATGCCTAAATTGCAGCACCATCCCAATCAAATGGCTACAGTGCTAGTCCTTTTATTTACATTAGAACTACAATTCTTAGGACAGTTTTTAGAGTGGTGCGTTGGGGATTTCAGATGCACAGCATCGGTCTTCCTTAATTAGCTTGATGACTGAGGCTTAGGAATAGAAAGGGATACTTCACACCCTTCACGTGGAAGCCCTCCATTGGTTGAGCTGCTGAATATTGCCCAGTAAGATGCAAGGTAAGACATGTGAAGAGAAGGAAATGGATGATAAACCCTGGGTGAAATCCTGGCCCCATTGTAGTCATTGGGCCAGGAATCACCTATGTATAAATTCAGAATAAGAAGCACAGTCCTGCTTACAAAGTCCTCCTGATTTTTGTGTGTATTTTTCAAAATAAATGTCCCAGTGTTTCCTTTTTGTATGAGAGAGACTGCATCAAACAAATATTAGCAACCCATTGCTCATGAGTTGCCATATAATAAGGAACTAGCATACTTGGTGCAAGGGGAAAGAAGTAAGGTTAAAATAAATTGATATCAAACTACCATATATACTCGATCATAAGCCAGTTCGTTTATAAGCTGACCAAGATGCATAAGTAAAAACGGAAAATTTTTATGACCCGTTCATAAGCCACCCTATAATTCAGGGGTCAGCAAACTTTGGCTCCTGGGCCATCAGGATAGGCTGCTGGTGGGCCGAGATGGTTTGTTTACCTCGAGCGTCCGCAGGCACGGAGGTAAACCTAAGTAAACAAAGTGTCCTGGCGCACCAACTGCTTACCCTGATGGGCCGGGACAGCAACTGATGGGGAAATTTTTTGAGGGGGAGAAGCTGGTGGTCAGGCGAGTAACCCCTGTGACCACCCCCCACATGATCCCACCCCTAGCCCGGGACCCCCACACTCTCCCCATCCCATCCACCTTATCTGGGGAGGGACAGGGGAGGATGTCTCTGTCCTGGCTGGAGCTGCTCTGGCAGGCTGGGCAGCGCAGCTGCAACCTGCTCCGGCTGGCCAGACTGGGCGGCGTGGCCGCAGCATGTTCCAGCGGACTGGGCAGCGCGGCCACAGCCTGCTGTGGGAGGCAGGGCCGAGCAGCACGGCTGCAGCCTGCCAGCCCCGGAGCTGCAGCTACTTCAGAGGCTGGGGGGAGAGCAGCATGGCCAGAAGCGGAGAGACTCTGGCCCCGCCTCTTCACTTCTGGCTCTGCTGGTTGTGCTGCCTCTCCTTGCTCCCTTTGTTGGGGGGAGGGGCTGTGTCCCGCCTCTCCCTCTCTATACCCGTTCATAAGCCTACCCCCTTCTCTGGTGCTTTCCTTTATTACTAAAAAAATTTGGATTATGAACGAGTATATACGGTAAATACAGTGATTGTAAATGTTTGAAATATATTTTGATATTTTATATAATGTCCCTTTGATATTTGTATGCATTACAAGAAGTACACGTTTGTGGATGGAGATAGATTTGGGAAGTTCAGTTGGTAGAATATTTCTGTTTGATGCAGGGACTTGGCCTGGGTTGTGCTTGTCTTTCCTCCATCACTTTCAGTATTTAAAAAAGTGTGTGTAGTTAAAACTTTTAAAAATGACATGACAATTTCTGGAAATGTATGATTTTATGTATGTTATGTAAATTCATGACATATACATATTTTGCAGTTTTAACAGAACAAGATAGTGCTGCAGCCCAACAGTATGTCCGTCAGGGATGCCCAACAGCACTCCGAGCTGAATTGTGGGCACTCATTCTGAATATTTCTAATCAGCCTGAGGTAAGGGGCAAACCAGGTTAAAATCAGATTAACATACACCTGGCTATTGAAAAAATAGATGTATGTTTGCTAGTAATGTTTTGCCAATTTTACTGTTTTGTCACAGAAGTAAACATTTTAAAACTACCATACTGATTTTTTCAGATGTGTAGACTTGTAAGGTTAGTTTGCCATTTTATAAGAATTATATTTGTAGACTTAAATAGTGTGTGCATGTGGGTGTGTTTAGCATGCCTGCAAAACAAAAGCCTACATGCATGGATACAAGCTTTCCCACTTCCACCAAAGCTCATTGTGTGACCAATCAGGGCAGAAGTATTGTGCAGTTAATAAATCAGCCTTGATGAGTGTGTGCGTGGGTTAAGCCACAAAACTATAATATAATTCTCCTTACTCATTATATAAAATTGTGGTTGGTGGGGAAGAAGAAGTAAGCCAAGCATAGTGGTGAATCAGTCTGTTTAGACAAAGTGGGTGGCGTATTATAGAAATTGGAAGTTCTAGTCCATAATCTGGTTTAATCCATGTGGTTGATATTAGAATGTTTCTGTTTATAGGCTGTGTCCAATGTGAAGATGTTGAAATCTTCTTCTCAAAATAGTAGGATGGGGCATGGAATACGTGTTTTCAGTCTGCATGAAAGATATGGGGTAAGAAGTTAGCTGATAAGGAGAGAAGGAATTACAGAATAGTTTTAGGGATCTTGCATGAGTTTTGCAAACTGCAGCTGTGAAGCAAAGTTAAGGTTTTAAATACAGAGCTGAGGTTCAAAAATAATTTTGAATGTTTGTTTTTAAGTAGTCACAACGTAGACAAACACTTCCTAACTGATAATTAGCAAACATCGCAAAATTTAGGCTAGGGCTTTGTGACCTTAACTATAAATTAATGTAGATGTTTTAATTTTATTTATGAATTACCAAAATATCTTTATTAATACTCTTGTTTGAGTGGTAGTGTGGACACTCTAGTCTTGTGGCAATCACTCTGTAAGACACAATATGACACAATCTGTTTTTTTTTAATTTATGTATCTGTAATTCTAAATTAATATATACATTTATGCATACACCTTACATGTATGAATTAAGGAACCAACATGTGTACTGTCCTCTCATCTCTTTGCCCAACATTATTTCCCAAAGCATCCTGTATTTGTCTTATTTAACGTAGGCCCTGGTACTAGGAAATACTTATGCACATTCTTAGCCTTATGCAGCATGACTAGTCCCATTGAAGTCAATAGGGCTATACACATGTTCTTAACTTTATGTGAAAGTCTTTGCAGAATTGGAGCTTTATATTGTAAACTCATTGAGACAGGAACCATGCATACCTATGGTGACATTCACAATTGTTAATAGTATAATATTGTACTTTGTATCTTTTGAAGATATGCAGTCATATGGTTGTAATTGAGGGACATTGATAACTGACCATTAGAAAGTTTGAGATATTAGCCATTGTTAATGAAATGTACACCTTTTCATATTTTCAGGAACTGTAAGTTTTATATTGGCAGCAAACCTTAGGAACATTAATGCTAAGAAAAACAGTCTTGACAAATGGACTTTTAAAAATCCAACTACAGATGTTTGGTCTAGTGATAAAAACACTTAGTTCAGACCTTCATGAAGAAATAGTCTAGGCATTTGTTTACAATGAATAACAGATTAAATTCCCTTTAGATAAAAAAGCCCTGCTAAAGTATAATGAAAATATTATACAACATATTTGTGATGCTTAATGCTAGATTGAAGTTCTTCTAAATTATTCTGACAGCTGAAGTCTGAGGTTTCTCTCTTTATGACAGTAACCAGATTAGAAATATGAAATTCATTTTGTTGGCTTCATTGCACATCTGTCTACATTCTCTTGAGCACTTCATATTTTAAAGGTATGTTTGTCTTAATATGCAAAGTAAAATAACTGAATTAAAGATCAAATCTTCTATTTTGATAAATGAAGGGCAAGGCATTTATTAAAAAAAAAAGAAATAGTAAGATATTCCATATTTTTATATTCAGGTATGACATGACACACTTTTTGAAAACTGACTCCTTAGGAAAAAAGTTCCAATCCAGTTTAAAAAAAAATTCTCAAATGTTTCTCTTTAAATAAAATAACCAACTATTTCAGTCCTTATAACTTTTTAAAGCCATGGTCGTATTTTTCTCAAAAAATTGGCATAGTTTATTTGATTATTAATATTAATATCTCTTTATGTAGCATTCACAAAGTGCAAGGTGGATTCTGGAAGCGGTGGCCCTTGCTCTTAGGCGCTCAAAATCTATTGATACAAATATTAGTAGACAAAGTTTCGGGGAAAGGAAACAATAGGCAATAGGTATACAAGATAATTTGATTCATCATGCAATTGAAGTTGCTCTTCAAGAGGTACTTAAAAGTAGAGAGGGTTGGAGCCTTGTGGATAAGCTAATGGAGGTAATACCATGCATGCATATGGTGCTGAGTGAGAGATGGCACTGTGATGATTATGCAAGAAGCTAACAAATGGCTGAATGTGGATGGCAATGCTGGTGGAGCTGTGGGTGGCAGGGTTTATGAAGAGGGTTATAAGAACTTTGAGAAAGGAAGATAAGTAGGGAGGCATAAAGTTATGCAGCGCTTTAAAGGTGTAGAAAAGAAGCTTAAATTTGATGCAGTAAGGGATGGTGAGCCAGTGGACGTATTCAGAGATGGGACTGAAATGATCAAATCCATGAACAAAACAGAATACTTTAGCCTTAATCTTACTACTTGTGGTGCTAAATAGTGTGCATTCCAGATCATGATTTTTCTATTGTACTAAACTGAAAACTACTACTTTATGATCAAAGAGCTTTCTGGAGGTTTATTTTGTTGTTGTTGTTGTGTATATAAGCAGCATTTTTTGTATCATAGTGTGATGGCTGCCATCTTGCCTAGTGTACCAAGGATTGAACCAGGGACCTTGACAGCTGAAAGCATGAATGTATACAGTTTGAGCTTTAAGAGCCAGGCTCTCAAACAGAGTTGTAACAGACCCATATCTGCAGTTGGTCACAAAGGGTGACATGGAACACACGCTGACTTGTGTGTTACAACAGCACAATGTTATGATGTGCATATCCATAAACTGAAATACTAATCATAAGTCATCTTTAATAAACACAGACTTAATCGTATAATGACTTATGGTAATCCAAGACTCTTTATACCCTGAGACTTTATTACTGTAAAGTGTTTTTGTGGCTGCTCATTGGCATATATTGCGCAAAGGTGAAGTAAGGTGTTCAGTAAAACTACGCAGTTTTCAAGTAACAGATCACAAAGAATATCTGCATATTTTGTATATGCTTTAATGGTTTATCCAGCACTACTTTCTCATTCTCTGCTTGTTCATTACTGAGTTATATAGTTGCAATAGTTTTTCCTCTCTAATGCATATCATTGGGAGTTTACACTTTTCTAGACTTGCAGATTTACAACTGACCATATAAGCATATAAATCTAATATAGGTCAGTAAATTTCCTTTGTTAGAAGTTGAAAGGCGGAGTTGGGTGGTGTGTGTGGGAGCATCAAAATAAGGTAGTTTGAGAGATTGTTTGTTTGGTTTTTTTTATATGAGCTTTATTGAACACAATCTACAGTGTCATACACAAAGATACAAGCAGTGTGCTTACGTGATGGCACCGAGTAATAAACTGTTGGCTCTATGCTGCATCATTATTTAGGAATATATAAGTATAATGTCTGGCAATGAATTGCTTATTAGTCTTTTATGTTGAGTTGTACAGGAAATTATACACACACACACACACACCTGTTAAAATAATGTTATTACAAGAAGTGGAAGATTGGACAAATGACCAGGGAGGAGTATAAAAATATTGCTCAGGCATGCAGGAGTGAAATCAGGAAGGCCAAATCACACTTGGAGTTGCAGCTAGCAAGAGATGTTATGAGTAACAAGAAGGGTTTCTTCAGGTATGTTAGCAACAAGAAGAAAATCAAAGAAAGTGTGGGCCCCTTACTGAATGAAGGAGGCAACCTAGTAACAGAGGATGTGGAAAAAGCTAATGTACTCAATGCTTTTTTTGAACAAGGTCAGCTCCCAGACTGCTGCACTGGGCAGCACAGTATGGGGAGAAGGTGACCAGCCCTCTGTGGAGAAAGAAGTGGTTCGGGACTATTTAGAAAAACTGGATGAGCACAAGTCCATGGGGCCGGATGCGCTGCATCCGAGGTTGCTAAAGGAGTTGGCGGATGTGATTGCAGAGCCATTGGCCGTTATCTTTGAAAACTCATGGCAATCGGGGGAGGTCCCGGATGACTGGAAAAAGGCTAATGTAGTGCCCATCTTTAAAAAAGGGAAGAAGGAGGATCTGGGGAACTACAGGCCAGTCAGCCTCACCTCAGTCCCTGGAAAAATCATGGAGCAGGTCCTCAAGGAATCAATTCTGAAGCACTTAGAGGAGAGGAAAGTGATCAGGAACAGTCAGCATGGATTCACCAAGGGCAAGTCATGCCTGACTAACCTAATTGCCTTCTATGAGGAGATAACTGGCTCTGTGGATGAGGTGAAAGCAGTGGATGTGTTATTCCTTGACTTTAGCAAAGCTTTTGATACGGTCTCCCACAGTATTCTTGCCAGCAAGTTAAAGAAGTATGGGCTGGATGAATGGACTATAAGGTGGATAGAAAGCTGGCTAGATCGTCGGGCTCAACGGGTAGTGATCAACGGCTCCATGTCTAATTGGCAGCCAGTTTCAAGTAGAGTGCCCCAGGGGTCGGTCCTGGGGCCGGTTTTGTTCAATATCTTCATTAATGATCTGGAGGATGGCATGGACTGTACTCTCAGCAAGTTTGCAGATGACACTAAACTGGGAGGAGTGGTAGATATGCTGGAGGGTAGGGATAGGATACAGAGGGACCTAGACAAATTAGAGGATTGGGCCAAAAGAAACATGATGAGGTTCAACAAGGACAAGTGCAGACTCCTGCACTTAGGACGGAA